CCAAGGGCCCACTCTGACCTGGAATGGGGAGCTCTGGCCCAGGTCTCCTCTAAACATTGCTCCCCACTTGTCCAAACATTGCTTGCACCCCATGCCTCCAGAGCCACTGGCGTGGCCAAGAATGTCTATCGTACATCTTCCCTCTAGCCTCATCTCACAGCCTGATGCTCAAGGCAGTTGGGAGATACCATCTCCACATCTATGAAAAAAACATGAGGGTTGGCAGCCCTGCCCGGTGCCACCCACAAGAGATGACCCAGTTGATTGGCAGTGAAATTGCAACACAGCCTCTGCTCTTGCCCTAGCCGGATCCCAGGCCCTGGAGCAGAGCCCATCGGGGCTTGTTTCCACCCCCAGCCTGGCTCCTGTGACGAACTTGAATCCTCATCTGACGGCTATCATGACCACTCTGCCCAAATAGGGCCTAACAGATCTGCTTCTCAGTTTTGTGGCCAAACTGGTTCTTGAAACTTCCCCAGAGTTCCAGCAGGGCTGAGTCTGTCTGTGGGGAACTGGAACCAGCTGCCCCTTGGGGTTAAGCTGGTTGAAAACTTGAGAAGCCAAGAGACAGAGGTTAGGAAAGTGCGAAGTTTACCTAAGGCCTTGATTATTGATATTGGTGTGAGACACAGTGGAAGTCCTTCCAGTGGATCTGCAGATGCCATGCCACATAACCTCTGACCCCCAGTGTGTCCATGAGGAAATGGATGCAAACGTAAGCAGACACGTCCCCAGGGTAGATGGGAGGAACCCTGCAACCCCAGTACTCCAGTGGGCAGTTGCTACACCCTCCTACTCTCCTGTCTTGGGAAACAGTCAGAGGTCTCTAGCAGCTCCAGGGGACAATGAACCCACACCTGCTTGTGTGCTGGGGTGCTGCCTGTGCCAGATGCAGAGGGAGAAAAGGAATGAGACACACCGGCCCATGCTTATGCCACCAGCCTTCCTCAGACACAGCCGCTAGCTCCTTTGCTGTCGTCACCAGTGTATGCTCACATGGGGGCTAGAAGGAAAGGAATGAGGAAACCAGGAGAAGACACAGTAGAAGAGATTGAATGAGCATCTATTATAATATATGCCAAGTTCAGCACTGGGCACATCCAAACATCATCACGCTTATTTCTTACCAGGTGAAGTAGATATGATTTACTAGACTATGCATGGACAATTCTGAGACACAGCAGAGAATAAATGTGGAGCTAGCTCTCTCTGGACCCTAGCTCTGCTATTAATTGCCTGTGTGATCTCAGTTTGCTCACTAAAACATAAGGACTAAGAAACATCAATAATTTCATATGGTTGTTATAATGATTAAATGAGATAATTTATATAAAGAACTTAGAATAACACCTGATACACAGAGAGTAAAATAGTAGTGTGAACTAATTGTGATTTTTTTTTAACTGTTATCTTCATTTAACTGTTGAGGAAATTGAGTCTTCAGAGAGGATCAGTGACCTACCCAAGGTCACACAACTAGAGAATGGCAATGCTAGGGTTGACTTCCAGGTCTATCTGATGCTGATACCCTCCATTCAAAGATTCTGAGTCCACAGGGGTTGAGAGAGAAGGAGAAACTCGGGCATCCATGAGCCCCAGGGCAAGGTCACTGATAGGGCAGTTGCCAGGGGCTGTGGCTGTCCCTTAAGAAGGAGTGACTCAGCCTCACAAGGTCATGGAGTGAGGTAGCCTGGGAGAGGCTCAGGACTTCTCAGCACCCGTAGGGCCTAAAGGGAACCCAGGAGGAGGAATGGCTTTGGGTGGCACGAGTCTGCCCATCCCTGAATACCAGCAAACGATTGTGCCGAAAAGACCTGGGAGAGAGCTCAGCCCCCAGAGGGCAGGGCCAGTGGTGGTGAAAGAGCCCTGGCAACAAATAAACAGGAAGATCCATTGCCCAACACCAGGACGAATGCACAACCCACATCCACACGTGAATGGTGGCACTGAAGCATCACGCACTAGTCCAAGATCAAAGTGGCAGAAGCCCCTTCCTGTGGGGCATCCTTCCTCAGCAAGCCCACGTCTAGCCATGACGCGGGCCAGGCCCCTGGCACCTGAGGGAAGGTACCTAGGCTTCCCAGGCATCCACTTTTCCAGCTGTGAAATGTGGGTGGTCAGACTCAGCTCCCAGGGTAGTTAGAACAGGGTGGGGCACAGAGTGTGGGTGTCCTTTCCTATATAGAGCAGGGGACACCTTTGTGACCCTCCTCTCTCTACTGCACCCCTAAGGCTCCTGCTCAAACTCTCTCCTGCTCTCTCAGAGAGCTGGGCTCAAGATGGGTTTCTACTGAGCTGCTGAGACCAAGGTTTCTCAAGGGCAGAACTGTGCTTTTTCATATTTAGATGCATTCCATCCAGCCCCTAGCACAGCCTGCTGGCCCCCACCTGATGGAGAATAATAGCGGAACTTAAATATCCCCAGACAGGTGCAGCCACTGGCCATCTCCCCATGTCCTGAGAACCAATGAATGGTCTGAACTACCTGGACACGACATCACTGGCTGCCTTCAAAGGCACTGAGTTCATCATCGGTGGTTAGAGGCCAGCACCACTTGGAGAAGAGGCTGCAGAGAGGACTCGGTCCTTGAATAGGAGCCAGAATCTGCAGCCTTTGAAACCCTCATGGGCCGGCCAGGGCCTCTGATTCTGCGTTGTTGAACTTTATGGCTATTTTGCAGACAGAGCCCAAAGCTCCCTTGATAGAAAGTGCTGTCTGCCTGGTAAATGCATTAGGGCATTCAAGTTCAAAGCCAGTGCAATACTGGCATGCAGGAAGGAGAGAATGAGGAGACAGGGTGGGAGCTGGGGCCCCCTTGAGGCCAGCAGGCTTTTCTACAAAAAGAGCCCCCTCACTTCCTGGGATCCCTGAGACCCAGCCCTCCAGCCCGAGAAGGCTGGCTGTGATCGAATCCAGCCCCCTCCCAAGCCCTGAGGCACACCACATGTGAGGGAAAGGGCTAAACACACACTCACTCCCAGAAGCATCTTCGGATTCCATAATTGTTGCTCTGAAAACCCGTCAGAGGTTCTGAGGGGCACCGAGGCAGCTCTTTGGAAAACAAGCAGACAGCAGTGAAGGGAACCAACGCCTCAATTATGGTGGGGACTGGAGCCTTTGAAAAGAGATGGTTTAATGAAAAGGTACTGTCGGGAGCTAACCGTGTGGAGGGTGGCCTGTCCTCTTCTGCTTTTCTCCCTGTCCCTCCCCTCCCCCACTTAGTCAGGAGCAGCTGCCCAGCCTGCAGGCCCCAGGACCTCAGTGCCTGGGGATTAACCCCTGCAGGGTGGGGAGGAAGGAACTGCAGTGCCCAGGTATGCAGGCCACTTCCTGAACACCCCTGCTTGATGCCTGTAGTCTGTCCTCTTGCCTGGGCTGGGACCCTGGGTTCTGGACCTGTGGTCCCGCTGATTCACCATCACCTCTTCCAGGCTGGATGGGGATCAAGGCTTGGGGAAGACAATGCAGCCACAGCATTTTTCTATAGCATCATTCATTGTTTGACCAAGGGCACTTTTATCACAGAATTAATCTTTAGTAAGTACTTACTTTGACAAGTAACTTCTAATTTAATCTTCAAACAATCCTTTGATATGGGTACTATTATGATTCCCTTCTTGTAGATGGGGCAGCTGAGGCACAGGTAGGTGATGTAACTTGCCCTAGGTCACAGTAGTGACAGAGCAAGGATTTGAACCAGGCAGTCTGGCTTTAGCGCCAGGCTCTCACACTTCCGTCCTTGTCTAGCCCTCTCTAATGCTGACACACTGTCCTGGTCAGCCTTCCAGACACCTCTCCTTAATCCCTGGTCTCACCTGTAACCCCCACGTACTTCCTACTCAGGTCTCCCCTTCTGCAGCCTGCTCTCCCCAACCCTGATCTTCTTCCTGGGTTCAAGAGCTGCTGCCACCTGCAGGTGCAAAGATGCTTGTGCTCTAACAGGGTCTCAGGGCAAAAGGGTGGCCTGGGGACCCAGCACCTGGTGTGCTCTACCATGGTGGCAAAGCAATAGCAGAGCGCTAGGAGTGTTCGTTCTAGAGAGGTTTGCACCTGGGCTATTCTGTGATGGGCTATTCCAGAATCCAAGGTGGACCCCACAATAAAAAGGGAGTGGTAGGCTCTCACGGAAAGGGCACGCAAGTGGGGGGGGGTCATTGAGAAGAGCTCCAAGGCTGATTTACCATCTGGGATGAGTCAGTGTCCTGGTACAGCCCTGCCTACAGACAGGAATTAATAGAGCTCAGGAAGAATGCGTCCCGTTTCTGGGCTACTTTTCTTTTCTAGCTCGTTAAAGACTTTAATGACTGCATCATAATCCAGCCGGAGGAAATCCGTAAAGCCATGAATGTCCCCGTGCTTTACAACTATGATGGACTCGTCTCCTCCAAGTAATAGGGACGCTCAGCGCGGATCAGTGAGGAATCAAGAGGGCGGCAACCTCTGGGGACACACAGATTTAGAATCTGCAGGCGAAATTCAGACTGAGCTGCAAAGCCAGGCATTGTCGGCCAAGGGACCGGTCTGGACCTAGAAAAAGGACAAGTCCCAAGCTCCGGTTTTATTTCCAGACTTGCTACTGGCTGTGCCAGCCTCAGTAGCCACCTTCTTGGGTCTGTACGTGGAGGGAGTCGGAGAGGAGGGGAGGAAAGGGAATGGGGGCTAATTTTGCATCCACTGAGGGGCAGGCCCTGTGCAAGGTCCTCTACATGAGATGCCTCCCAAGTATTATAGTTCCCTATTTTATAAAGGCGGAAAAGGGCTCAGAAACGGAAACCTAGTGTCACACAGCCGAATGCAAAGCAAAACCTTCCATGATAACAATGATAATAATAGCTAACATCTATATAGTGCATGCTGGGTTCTGGGCAATGCATGTATTGACTTATTTAAACCTCACCAAAAAAGCAGTAGGTAGGTATTGTTATCCCAATTTTACAAATGAGGAAACTGAGCATAGAGACCTGTAACTCCCACCCAGTCCCAGCAGCAGGCACTTTACCTCTGTTGATGAACCGAGAGCCCAGGCTGTCATGCAGGTTATTGGTATTTTCTTCTCTGTCTCCAGAGAGCTGGAGCAGGTAGTTTCAGAGGTGCAGAGCTCAGCTGGGAAGAATCCTGGGGTGGGGAGTGGGGGGCGGGGGGAACTGGTTTAGCTGTGAATGGGGAATGGATAAATGAGTGGGAGAACAGAGGGGAGATGACCGGTTGAGAATAAGAAGGGTAAGAGAGGTGGGGAGAGACAGACAGACAGAAAGAGATAGGCAGACAGACAAAAACAGTCAGAGGTGGAGAGAAAAACCGAGGCAGAGAGACAATGAGAGGGAGAGGAAACTATCAGGGATGTAGTCTCCCCACTGACACAGCTACTGGAAGGCAGGGCCTGGCTTTGGTGAGGCAAGTGTGAGCTGGTCCTAGAGTTCTAGACGGGAAATGTCACTCTAGTTAGGGACACGCAGGACAGCCCTGAGGTGCTCCCATGTGCGTGCGTGTTGGCGCCAGTGTAACCTCACTGTGCCACCTGCAGCTCAGGTGACCTCCTAGGCACTTCCATGTGTCCCGCCTCAGTTTCTCTTCGCACCACCCTCAAGTAAGTGGGTCAGAGACTGGAAACTTAACTCAGAGAATGAAGCCACTGGTTCAGGGTCCCCCAGCAAGTTGATACCGAATGGAGACCAGAGCCTCAGCCAGGGGTTTCCATAACACAGGCCAGGGGGCTCTTGAAGGTGAATCAAGGGACAGAGGCCTCAGGCAACAAGAGGGCAATGGTGCAGAAGCCTTTCCCACCTGCCCATCCCGCCCAGCTGAGAATTCCGACCCCATACGACCTGGGAGACCCAGTTCCTATTGACTCCCGCTTGGCGATCGCACCCCATGACCCTCTGGTATTCCCCACGGTCCTCTTGGGTCTTGCCCCAGCTCTCACCAGCCTGCTGTCCACCAGCCCTGCCATTCCCACAAGCTCTCTTACACTGCAGGTCCTGCCTCCTCCCTCCCAGAGCAGGGCTGGGGGAGGGGGCCTGTGTGGGAGGGAGATCAGGCACTTCATGCAACAAGGCTGCTCCCACATGGCCCCTGTATCACCTATTGTCAAATGACTCAGTGGTGGCCCTGCTCTCCCAGAGCCCACCATCCAGCAGGGGATGAGCACATGTAAGGCTCCGTCTGACACATGGTGAATGCTGAGACAGGTGTGTAGACAATGCTAGGGGAGGGAGGACAGGAGAGGCTCCTCGTCACTGAGCAGTTTGGAGGGGAGTCAGCAAGGAACAGACAGAGGAAGACCATCCCCTTCTCAAAGGGACCCAGGGTGTGCCAAAGCACAAAGGGGCAGGCAGCAGGGTGATCTGGGTTGGCTAGGGTGTAGGGTGCACATCAGGGTCCTAGAGACAGGGCCAGAGGGATGGCCCGGGGCCAGTTTATGAAGTGTCTGGTTTCACCCTCACCTGGGCTGAAGTTTGGGCTCAATCCTAGAGACCAAAGGTGGATGCAGAGAGAGTGTGTTCAGGACAGTGGAGCCCACACTTGCCCATAGCTCTGCAGTGTGCCTAGGGGCAGGTGGTTGGCCAGCCCCCATTGACCAATGGGCTGCTGCATTGCCACACTCCCCCAGCATCTCTCTCCTCACTTCCTCCTGAGATTTGCTAAATAAGAGAGGACCCAGCCTCGGCTCCCTTGGACACCATTTCACACCAATTGCCATCCTTCCTGGTCTAACTGAGTCAGGAAGTCATTTCGCAGGAGAGCCTGAACCTATAGGAAAGTCTTCCTCTAAGAATCAAACACTGTGGCTGCAGGAAAACCATTGGCATCCTCACCTCCTACATCTAAAGCCCCTGAGTCTCCAGGTTGATTTCTCAGCAGTATTTAAATGTGCAGTAAAACCAGGCCCATGGGTTTTCCCAGCATCCGCACAGCACATCCCAGGGGCTCCTGTGTGTGTTTCTGTGCATCTCCCCTAGTGAGATAACATAGCGCCAATGGTAAACCGAGTGGGGGGTAGGGGGGCTTGCTGAGGACTCTTGATGGCAGCCGTGAATCCACCTGGGAAGTCCAAATATGTAAGAGCCGAGTTTGGGGAGATTGTTTCCAGTCGTGGTGGCTTTGTGAGGGGCCATGGTGCTAGTACAGGGGTGTCAGGCTATGCCCTGGGGCTTCACACAAACTTTTCTGCAAGCTTGCAGTCAGAAATCTTGTCCTTTCAATGATTCCACCTGGCCTGGGACAAAGACAGAGCCAGTACCAGGCTTAAGACTTGCCTCCTCTCCTCACCCAGTGCCCAGGAGTTGGTCAGGGAACGCTTCACTGCCTGAGCACCTGTGCCTACCACCATAGGCCCTGACCCTTCTTTCTGATCTCCTGGAAACTGGGGTATACGGGCCTTAGGGTCAGGCTGAGCATAGGGAGACCTGAGGTGGGAGTCAGAAAGACTGAATTTGGAGACCCACCTCTTCCTCCTATGTGCTGCATGGCTCTGGATGAGTTACTTGAGCTCTCTGAGCCTTAACCTCTTTCCTCGGACCTGCAAAAGGGCGATTGCATCCTTCCCGTACAGGGATGCGTGGACTAAACAAGGTGACGTTCTGGCCAGTCCTCAGCACAGCAGTGACCGGCCCCCAGCAGAGCTCAGTCAACTTTGGCTACAATTATAAGCTGTTATAAAGCACTTGGCATGGAGTAAATACTCCACAAATAAGCACCATACAAGTGTAAATAATTATTAATTATTATGATGACTAATCATCATTATTGTTGATGATAAACGTTAAGAACTGCTACGCAAACACCAGCTCCCCCACTCAATCTGTCTGCACAGAGTTATCACTCCTCAACCACAAAAAAACATTCCGGGACCCAGAGAGATTGCTGGTTCTAAGCAGGCAGGCAGAAAGCACTGCACCCCACCCTCACTCTCTTCCCAGCAGCACAGCTGGGCTGGTCTCCTTCAGGCAGGTGACATTCACCCAAACACACCCCATCTGGCTGTACAGGCTGCTTAAGGTCTGGGTTTGCTTGTCTCCTCTGCCTCTGGGATGTTAAATATTTTGGATATCACCTAAGTAAGAGCACTCCCCATTGCAATTCCTTAAGTCCTGTGTGAAGTGCAACAAAGCAAGCCTGAGAAAGTGACCTGGGAAAACCCTGGTCCAGCTCCCAGAACTCTTCCTGTGGGATGTGGGCAGATAGGTAAGGAGCAGGCACTGCTGAGCATGTGAATCTCAGCACCATCCTGAAAAGTGAATCAGGCATCCCAGGCCTAGCTCAACCCCAGCTCGTAGGATCTCAGTAAATACATGGATGGAGGGAGGGAGGATATTCCTCATGCCTTTCTATTTTCTGTATTTTTGATGCTTTGACATCTGGGGCTTTGCTAACGCTGGAGAGACTGCACCTCCCGAGTCTAGTCAATTTCTAGAGATAGCAAACAACTTGCTTGCGAGTACACCTTCCACATGCAAACCAACCCATCCAGAGCCCATTACCCACCCCACCCCAGCCACACACACTACATCCTTTATCAGATTCTCACTCTCCAAGCAACTACCCACCTTCCCCAATCTCCCAGAGCCAGACACTAGACAACTAGGGACAACCTGTGTGCCATACAGCCGCTGAAATTATCCACACTAGCTAATCCTAAACCCGCTTACCTGGCCCCACCTGTTCCTTGTCTCGGAACACAACAAAGATTCTTGCTCAGGTTTCCCCCTCACTCTCTCTGCCTCCTGACGGATGCTGCTACTTCCCCACGTGGTCCTGCATGGTGTGGCACGCCCCCTCCCCTTCAAAATTGTGAGTAATAAACTATGTTCTCAATGACAATTATCTCCTGGCCTGATGGCCTCACTTTTAAACAATGACAGGTGGAGGGACGAAGGGAAAGAGGGAAAGGTGGGAGGAAAGAAAGGAGGAAGGAAGGAAGGAAGGAAAGAAGGAAGGAAGGAAGGAAGGAAGGAAGGAAGGAAGGAAGGAAGGAAGGAAGGAAGGACAGAAAG